GCTGGGTGCGCACCGAACATTTCGACCCGCTCACGCCAGATATCTACTTTGGATCAAACCATTTAAGCAGGGAGAGCACCTTACGCGCCTTGCTGAGCTCTGTGTGTGGGTTTTTGATACAGCATCGTGAAGGCGTGTTTCAAACCGTGACTGTCAGGAAGGCAGCTCGAGTGTCTTGCTTGTGGAAGACACTCTGCTTGCGGGTTGTCCTCTACCTCACCCTCGCCGACAACGACGCCTCGAGGACACGCTTGCCACCACGATACTAGCAACGCCATCAAGGCAAGACACAGCGGTTAACAGCTACCACTCGTTGCACTGACTCGGCATCTCAATTTTGGCACATGTAGTACACTGGTATATGTAAAGTCAGCTGCTACCACTTCGCTGCATTGATTTGGCAACTTTTGTGAGCATATATCAACTGCTGGACTGCTGGCTGGCACTCGTCGAACTGATTCGGCAACTCTTGGCAGCACAGCAAAATTGTCCCCCAAGTTTTGTTTTTTGCTCACCCTAGCCTCCGGGAGCTTGACCTTCTCCCACTTCATGCCGAAGAGCGCATCCACTTCCCACTTGAGAACCCCCTTCTTTTTCTCAAGTTCTAGCCGCCGGACAACCTTTCTGTTTCCCCGCATTACCTGGGTAAGCCTGCGCATCAGCGTGGGGCGTGGTTGGGCGGACAGGTTGGGATAAACACGATCCTCCTAAACATTTTCTCCCTTTGGGTAGTTAGTTTGTGACAACGGAAGGCGGACGCGTCACTTGGACCAGCACGGATGTTAGACGGTACTGCGCAGCGACAGGAACGGTTACTAACGTGTGAAGACAACAACGACCTCCCCCTCAACCAACCCAGTCTGGAAAACAAGTGGTACAGAAGCCAGGGTTGGGGTTCGTCCATCTGTTGCCCCTTCGACATTTCGTTCTTTGGAGTAACGTTCAGGATTGACTACTGTAGACAGATGCTTGTTTCGGCGACCGTATTTAGTTACGAAGTTTTGAGCGTTGGAAGAGCTCACCCTGATACTTGATACTTGCAGATAATCCACAAGCCGGGGTAGCGAGGAGACACGATCACCACAGCCATTTCGTTGGGATCCACGCACACAAGCGCTTCGCAGTGTCGCTAGGGTGAGCACATCAAGACCACCGTTGCCTTACACCTCCGTTGCTTGGAGATACCACTTGCTTGCGAGATAGAGGCTAATCCATTAGACTACTCAGTCAGCGCCGACTGAGAAGTCTAATGGATTAGCCATTGTACACTCTAGGGTCGTAGCCTCCCAGCTGGATCAGTGTTAGTAGGGATCTACGGGGACGGGCCCCTCGCCAGGCGCTGTTAGATAAAGGCAAATCCTGTAGACTACCCAGCAGCTTGCAGCTTGAGTAGTCTAAAGGATTTACCTTTATCTAACATCCGTTCTCGCGATAACATAGCGCAAGTTACACCAGTCTTCACCGCTCAGAAGAAAGCACAGCGAGCAGCGAAGAGCAAGGGCATCAAAACGCACCGTTGCCCTAAAACCTCCGTTGCATGGAGGCACTACCCTTTCCTCGCGATAGCACAGCACGAGCGACTGTCATCGCCGCTCAGAAGCAAGTGCAGCCGGGCAAAAACAGACAAGGAACGGCATCATCGCCATAAACGAAAAAAAAAACTCACAGGAGGCCTCCATCCGTCAAGTCGCCGTCAACGCGCTTCACGGCCTCATCTTCCGCGGTGGGAGCGGGGGCGGCCAGCACGCCGTCGCCGTCGGAGGCTGGCGCTGCAGCTTCCGTGGGCGTAGCGTTCTTGTCGGCGTCATCGTCCTTGCTCTCATCCTTGTCGCTGCCGCTGGGACGATACGAGCGGTGCGGGACGTGGTTTGGTAAGTTCCCGGGAACCTGCCGACACTGCTGTGATTTCTGTGACGTTTCCACTGCAAAGACTTCACCACATCCCGTTGGACTGTGGTCATATCTCGAATGGGTAGTCTTTCTGTGTTTGTGTTTATGCTTCCTAACATTTCCGAAACCCTACCCAACACTTACCAACCCTTTTACAGAACACACGCATCCTTGGAAATTGTGTTTCTCTCCCTCGAGATCAACCGGGGTGGGGGCTCAACGGTTGATGGGGGGGGCGGGGGGGGGGGGGGG